CTAACTATATGATTTTGTAATTACTGTATGAACAAAATGTGCATCTGGTTTGTTTGATTTTGTTTATTTATTCTATTTTATTTATTTTATATTTTATTTATTTTATTTTGTATTATTTTTATTTATTTATTTATTTATTTATTTATTGTTTGTTATGTTTTTTTATTTTATTTTATTTTGCATCCAACCAACAACATGATTTTTTGTTTTATTTTATTTTGCATCCATTTATGACCAAAATGTGCATATACGCATTCAGTCAGTTTATTTTATTTAAATTTTTATTATTTTAATTTTTTTAATTAATACTTTTAGAATTTAATTTTTAGTTTTATTTGATTTTATTTATTTAAAATCTTTTTTATTTACTTTAATAAAAAATGTTACTTATTATTTGATTTTTCAATAAATTAAATTAAATTTGTATTATTTTATTATTTTATTTTTATTTATTATTTTAGTTTATTTTTGTTTATGTACTTATTTATTTATTATTAGAATTTACATTTTATTTTATTTTATTTTGCATTAAACCAACTACATGATTTTGAAAGTACATAATGAGCAAAATATGTATATCAGCAGTCAGTCAGTGTATTTAATTTAATTTAATTTAATTTTATTTTATTTTCATTTATTTATTTATTTTCATTTAATTTTATTTAATTGTATTATTTTTAATTTGAATTTGAATTAAATTTTATATTATTTTATTTTATTTTATACAGCCAACCAACTACATGATTTCGCAAATAAAGCATGAGCAAAATGTGCATCTAAGCAGTCAGTCAGTGTGTATATAAAGTCATTACTTTCCTAGCACAGGCATTGCAAATGAATAATGACTGCACATCCAGCCACCCTCACATTTAATTGTATTAACCTTCTGAACTCCCAGTGACTGAGAGGCTTTGCAAGGCGACTCACAAGTGATTTATGGCGATTATAAACACTGGAAGCTGAAAACTTTAAATGTACTGTATGTGCTGGAAAGTGCATTGCCACTGAGAGCATAGATGCTTCAAGATAGCACAGCAGTTGCACGGTCCCTTGAGGAGACAAATAACACATTTTGGATTTTAGAAAAGCATAAATTTGCAGACTGTCATGAGTTTTTCCCCCTCAAGATCCACAGATATGCAATTCAGCCTGATTACTATTATTCAAAACAACCCGTTCTCATGGCTCTGCTTATATTTGGGTCTAATAGAGAATGGTAAGTTGCATAAAACTTAAATATTTTGGAGACTCAAGTGGTCAATGTCGCAGTCATTAAGCAATGAGCATCTTTGGTTATATAAATTTGACTGGACCACACGAAATATAAACACACAGGGTACATTTGTTTGTCTCTTTCTCTCTCAATTGCATCTTTGCTTCTGAGTGTGTTTGCAGTAGTTGTTGGTGCCGTACATACTGTAGCATTTCCTAATACCTCCAGTCGTGATGACCTCAGAGTAAAGCTGCTCCCAATGGACAAAATATATTCAGTAATCAGATTTGTTGTGGCCCGATTAGACCAAGATTAACTTGTAAACAAATGTACATAATGCAAGACTTAGATAAGTATTAATAATGTACAATTGTTTGCAAACACTGGTCCATTTATAAAACTTTGAGCATGCAGTATGTATAAGAGACCACTGTAATTTTTGTTTTCTTCTTCCACTTTCTAAATTTTGTTTTGCTTAAGACATTTTTTCCCTAAATGTATGAGCAATTATTTGCATAAAATGCTAAAAAGTTGCCAGACATGTTTATATAATGTTTTAAAGAGCCCCTGTTATGGGTTTTTGAAGATTACCTTCCATGCAGTGTGCAACAAAGCTCTAAGTGAATGAAAACATCCAGCTGAGGGTTAAATCTGAAAATGCGTCTTCTTTAAAAATCTAGATTTATTTTAATAAAAGATTCATTCAAGAGTCATTTAAATGATTTGTTGTTCGTCCAGATCTTTTGCCTGTTCGTATCGACATCGACACAAAACAATACCAAATATGAACTGCCAGATCCGGTAAAACATGAACGCGCCTTTCCCATCAGACACTAGCAGAGTGCGAGGGATCATGGGTTTGATCATGACACGAAGCAATAAATACATAATATACGACAATGTAGGTGCTTTTTGACCTTGAAATCATATCAGCCTGTTGTTGGAGACCCCATAACCAAAATATGACCTTTTATATTGATAATACTAATTATTCCTTACATTTATATAGCGCTTTTCTGGACACTCAAATCATTTTAGACATTGTGGGGAATCTCCTCATCCAACACCACCATCTTAATGCATAATTAGGGCTCTTTAAACAACACAATATTAATGTTTTAATTTCAGAAAAGTTAAGAAAGCAATATTTGGTGACACAATCCTGATTACAACAAATGAAAACAATTGAGCAAATGAGCTATTGTCCTTTCGCTTATCAAAATACTCTAAATGGCAATATATTTGTTGCAGGGTGTCCCCAACGTTTCAAAAAGTTTTAAAAAGTCTTAAATTTAAAAAATAAATAAATAAATAAATAAATAAATGCCTTTAATTTACTGAAATATAGTGTTGTGGGTCTTAAATAATTTTAAACAGATGTTAATTTTCCTTTGTCTGGGTAAAGTTACCTTATCGGTCTAACACACATTTATAATGATAATAATAATCCACCTCAAAACTTTTATATATTATTAAAGTTTTTCAATGCAAAGAGAGACAATTCACAACAGCTGTTAGACATTTTTACAGCAAATTCTCCAAATTAAATTAAAGAAAACTGAAGCAACACATCCCTTTTACATGATCTTTTATTAATACAAAAACTATTTACAGAAGTAACTGGCCCATTAGAAAAAAATCTTTAATGTTTAGCCCAGTACAAGTTTAATATTTAATTCATAACGGTATTAAAAAGTCTTAAATTTGACATGAAGAAACCTCCAGAAACCTTGTGTTGGATATTTAGGTGTTTCAAATGCCATCCAAACTTATTAAAATGTTCCTTAATAAAATAATTTTGGTCACACTTTATTTTGATGGTCTGTTTGTTGAATTTAAGTTACACTGCATCTTCATGCCAACAAATTCTCATTAGATTATAAGACTTAGGTTGGGGTTAGTGTAAATTGACATGAACTTGCAAAGTTTCTTATAGTCAGTTAAATGTGTAAAAGGAGCAGTATCAACAGATATGAAGCAGACAGTCTACTAATACTCGAATGGACTTTCTAAATAAAGTGTTACCAAAATTATTATTGCAATAATTGAAGTTAATGCTTTTGTATTTACTAACATAAACTAAGAATGAGTAATGCTTGTACAACATATATTTGTAGTTAATTGTAGTTTAAAATGTATGCATTATTCAACATGAAATAATGTTAAACCTTATTTAACATAAACTAACAATGAGCAACTTTATTTTCCTCATTAAATATCATTATCAAGGGTTTATAATGTATCGTTTCTTGTTGGTTTATGTTAATACATATTATACACACAATCTATTAACTTAACAATACATAATGCAATTATTTTTATCACATGTTTTTTATTATTATTATTTATTTTTTAATTTAAGGTATGTGATGATCGGTGTGTTAAACTGGGACTTCATTGCAGTTCTCATCGCGTGATGCTGGCTGTTGATCACTTCACTTTCCCAGCATTGTGTTTCTAGAGTTGAAAACAAGTGCAAGTGCTCATGGAGTCACAGAGATATGGGTCACAGGAAACCGCTTCACTTCTGCTGATGTATTAACTGCCACTGAAACGCAGACTGAAAAATGTGCCTTTCTTCTTTATTTCTTTATTTCATTTTTTTGCTCTATTTTTCTTGAATGTTGATTATTCTCAATATCACTGCTTTCTGGCTTTTGTGAGATTTCCTGAATCACTTTCTTTTGTTTTATTTCATTTTTTTATTTATTTTCTTTTTGGTCACGTTAGCCACATTTTTTATTTGTCAAGAAAAACTGCTCATCCTCATCCCCCCGGTGTGCTCGTTTCTTAGTCCCACCTCCTTGGAAATCTTTGTAATTTAAATATTCAAATCAGCTCCCCTCCCACATCGTTGCCAATCACAAATGAAAAGAATACATTAAAGAGGCGGTGAATACATTAAAGTGGTGAATACATCAAGAAAGCACATACATTGTGCTGCTGATACTGTCTTCACAGCGCATTTGTGATGTCTTTATTTAATGCAATGTGAAATACAGTAGAATGAGATCACAGGCATGGGTACAGCATTTATTATAAGGAAGGAAAAATGCATTTAGATGCTTTTATATTAGATTCCATGCAAAAATATTTTAATATAAAAATGCATCCCATGCTATTGATTTATTAATTAATCCTCTTCCTACTACTACTACTAAAATATTATTATTATTATATTATTATTATTAATAATAATAATAATATTGTGTGATTGATTGATTACTCCCTACTACTACTACTACTACTAAAGTTAATAACAAAATATAATAATGCTTAAAATAATAATAATAATAATAATTATTATTATTATTATTACTATTATTATTATTATTATTATTATTATTAAGCATTAAATTAGAATAAATAAATACATATTTGTTTGTAATAAAACCCACCTGTAATAGATCTGTAAATTATACGATATTATAAATAGTAAATTGATTGTATATTAAATGTATTGCATTATTGTTACTGGTGATTGGTGATGTTTATTCAGTAACAAATGAAATCACTATTGTTTTTTAATTAATTATTCCTTATTAAATAGCACACATATTTCACGTTAGTGTTTGTAAAGTATATTTGTTAAAAAGATTAATGGAATAAGAAAACTTCAGCTGAAGTCCTCCACTACTTAAGGTTATTAATCAACTGAAAATATGCATACATAAACCTTTACGCAAAAAAAAAGAAGTCATATCCTATTCATAAATATCATTCTAAAGGCTGTATTTTTTGCATTTTTTAATCATGTGATTTCCTCATTCTCTCTCCATCTCTGTAGTCGAGCAATCAAAACCAACCAGGACCTCCTACCGGACACCCCATGGACGAACATTCTATATGATGACTTCTGGGGCACTTTGCTTACCCACAGCGGCAGCCACAAGTCTTTCCGTCCTCTCTGCACCATCTCTTTCCGCCTCAATTATTTCTTGGGTGGCCTGGATCCCTACGGCTTCCACCTGTTCAACGTGGGCCTTCACTGCTGCGTCACTGCCCTCTTCACTGCATTCTGTCGCCCCTTGCTGGGTGGAGGACCTTGGAGTCTGTTGGCAGGACTGCTCTTCGCCTCTCATCCCATACACACCGAAGCGGTAGCTGGGGTCGTGGGCCGAGCAGATGTTGGAGCAGCCTTTTGCTTCTTATTGTCACTTCTCTGTTATTCCCAATATTGCCGTCTCAGGCATAATGCAGCACACTCGAGTCGGGTTGCGTGGCGTGCTGGATCTTGGCTTGCTGGAAGCCTGGGTGCTGCTGCAGCTGCTTTACTGTGGAAGGAGCAGGGGGTGACTGTTCTGGCTGTTTCAGCTGTTTATGATGTCTGTGTTGTGCATCGGCTGCGGCTACGGCAAGCGCTAATAGTGCTGCTAAAGGTGAGATGTGATGGAAACCAGATCCTAAAACCTAACTAGGGTAATTATAATCTTACAAGAAAGCAAATATAAAGGCAGCAACACCAAAGCTGTGTCAAATGAGCAATTCCAGGCTTATAGATGTGAGGTTTGCAGTAAAATCTAGTATAGAGAAAGTGTATGTTAACATTATATTGAAACATCTGTTTATAGTTTTCCAAAATTACCAACCACAGAGTTATGTGGTCAGAAAAATATCAATCTGTAAACATTTTTTAAATCTTATAATAAAAAAATAAGCATTCGTTTTAGATGTGACCAGACATTTTTTACAGTATAAACATACTTTTTAGAATCTCTTTGAATTAAACCGCACATGCCAAAAGAGATTATGCTAATCAAAATGATAAGAGTTGGCTCACTATGTGAAGTTTATTTCTATACTAATTTTGAGAGGATCACGTGCTTATGATTGCTTTCGGCTGGTCCTGCATTAGTCAATTCATGATTCACTAATCAGACGATTCCTAAGCCACTATAAATACCCTTAGTTCCATATGACAGCCATCTTCATTTTGAAAAATCCCCCCTTCCACCCCTACTCCTCTTCTTTTCCTAGATGGGTGGCACGGTGGCCCAGTGCTTAGCACTGTTGCTTTACGGCAAGAACGTCTCTGGTTCTAGTCCTTACCACGTTCTAGTCCACACGTTCTACCCTGGGTTTTCCCTGGGTTCCCCAGTTTCCTCCCACCGTCCAAAAACATGCAGCTTAAGTTAATTGACTAATCCAAATAGGCATCTCAGACATGCTTCTAGTTAATAGTTATATCTTAAGAGCAATCACTATCTGTTCATTAGCTATTACAGTAGTGGAGTTCTTGAGATCTACCTGAGCTCAAACTCCCCTCTCGCCCTGCAAACGGGAGGGAGCCCCGGGCTCGAGGATTTTACGATCCAAAAACATATTTGCGAGATAACGCAAAACATCTTTGCTAGGGAATGCAAAAACTCAAACTCTATCACTCAGTTTCTTTTTTTTCAAATTTTTTTCCTGATGTTTTTGTCCCTTCCAGGCATCCCTACAAAAGTCACTTACACTCAAACAATTATTTTTGCTGCTCAAAACTACTTTTCAAACTACTTACAGTATTTAAAATGAGCTGAATCAGCACAATTTCTAGTTAGTTTTGGAACAACTTCATTGTTTTATGTTCAAACCCAGCATTTTTTACAGTGTGTTAAAACTGATTACATTAAATGTAACTGATAATGTAAATTATAATAATTATGTATGTAACTTCAGAAATACTTTCATAATTTTCATAAATATTATGACATGTGACTTTTTTGCATATAAATGTGGATTTTTCTGCACTCTTAAGATAAGTTCAAAATTCAATTCATCTTTATTTCTATAGCACTTTTACAATGTACTGTAGATTGTGTCAAAGCAGCTTAACATACAAGTTCTATTAAATTTAATCTGTATCAGTCCAGTTTTCAGAGTTGAATTTCAGTTTAGTTATATTATTACCTTATTAAACACACAAGTGGCAAGTATTACCTGTACTATTACTGTAGTAATAGTACACATTTAGTTCTGTGCAGTGGTTCCCTGTAAATGATCTCACTTACACTTATGATCTGTTCTGTAGAATATGTGGTGCAAATCTTTAAACGTCCCATTTTATCATTATGATGATAAATGGGAATTTTTGCAGCCCTCCTCCACCCTGTTTCAGACAATAAGGCAAGAGTAATCTAACCGGTCCAGACTCCAGTACACAGATGCCAACCTCGCGGCACATCTGTGCTCTTTATCGTGGCCTCTCTGCCCGTGTCTCCGGCTTTTCTTGCTGGTAATCATGAGGTGCACAAGAGGGGCGACAGGGAGAGATTACACACTCACCAGACGGCCACGAGCACATGGGAACGCAAACACGGGGAGAGAAAGGAGGATGAGGAGGAAGAGAAAAGAGGAAAGGAAACTATGCCCTCACTTCCTCTCATTCATTTTATCAAAGCACTTTCTCGTTTATTGTCATCCCCGTCCTGTAAATTCGGCTCATTTCACAGGGGCCTTATTAAATGCAACAGTCAACAATAAAAGATCCCATAAGATCCTCCCAAATGTTTTTTTTTTTAAACATTGAGGCTCTATCTTTGCATATTTAATGTCACGCATCTCAAACTTTTCATTCACCCAGTAATAATGCACTTGAAGGTAATGAGAACAGATAGAGCACCCTCATTGAAATTCCAGAGGCCACAAACACTTCTGATATAAGCCGAATGCGGAGTCTAAAACAATCCGCGGTAGATTCGTTTTTGAATTTTGTCCATACAAAAAGCACACAATGCAGATAGAGGGCAATTTTTCATCCCATTTGCTCTCTAATCGGATTCAGATGAGATAAAGCTCAATGGGTTTTTCTGTGTGGGTGCTGGTTTAGCGTAGGTTGTTGTTCTGAAAAACAAGGCTAATTTGATTTGCAAACTTGGAGTTGGAGGTCTGATTAGAGCGTTAAATGAATCTTTGATGGAACGCTTTGTACTGTTGGTAATTCAGTGATGACGCACAATATTTTGGTTCGTTTGTGTCAGTGTTGTGCGAGTGGGAAGATTACCAGTTTGATTAATGCAATGGCGTATCTGCAGTGACAGAACATTGAGCTGTGAAATGATGTTGTGGATCTTACATTTCTTTGTACAGCATTTATTTTAGTAATGACTTTGACATGATCTTTTTTTAAGGTGTTATTAGATGTGTTTAGATTGCATTGTTGGTCTAAAGTTGGATATTTGATCATGCATCAGTTTTTAGCATCAAGAGAAAGGTTTGCTTTGAGAAAAGTGCTAAAAACTGAAAGATCCCAAATGAATTTGGATGGTGTCCTGGTGTCCCAGCATTTTTTAGTAATGACTTTTACATGCATCATCTCTTTTAAGGTGTTATTAAATGTTTTTAGATTACATCGTTGGTCTACAAGTCAGATATTTTATCATGCATTAGTTTTTAGCATCAAGGAAAAAGTTTGCCTTGAGAAAGGTGCTAAAAACTGAAAGATCGCAAATGATATTGGATGGTGTCTCAGCATTTTTTAAGTAATGACTTTTACATGCATGGTCTCTTTTGAGGTGTTATTAGATGCGTTTAGATTGCATTGTAGGTCTACAATTTGATATTTGATCATGCATCAGTTTTTAGCATCAAGAGTAGGGATTGCTTTGACAATGGTGCTAAAAACTGAATGATCCTGAATGATTTTTGATGGTGTCCTGGTGTCCCATCATTTTTTAGTAATGACCTTTGCATGATCTCTTTTAAGGTGTTATTAAATGTGTTTAGATTGCATTCTAGGTCTAAAGTTAGATATTTGATCATGCATCAGTTTTTAGCATCAAGAGAAAGGTTTGCTTGGAGTAAAGTGCTTAAAACTGAAAGATCCTGAATGAATTTGAATGGTGTCCTGGTGTCCCAGCATTTTTTAGTAATGACTTTTACATGCATGATCTCTTTTGATGTGTTATTACTAGATGTTTTCAGATTGCATTGTAGGTCTAAAAGTTAGATATTTGATCATGGATCAGTTTTTAGCATCAAGAGAAAGGTTTGCTTTGAGAAAGGTGCTAAAAACTGAATGACCCCAATTGAATTTGGATGGAATCCCTGTGGATAAGGCTATAAACCAGCAGCTTTCCTCATTATGAGTGCTGTGATTACCAGCAGCTGAACTCCTCCTTTGTCCTCTTTAGGAACTGCTTTGTAATTAATTCAGTATATCAGCGTCCTCCAATGCCCTGTCTATTTCTCTCTGGATTTTTGGACTAAGTGCTTAAGCCATTTGTTTTTTGTTTTTTTAGGATGGGGGGGGGGGGGGGGGGGGGATTTGTGCATAGATTTTTTTAAAACATAGATTTTTTTTTTTTTTACGTTTATGAAAGGTATAAAGCAGAGAATGTCTATGTTTTTTCATCTTCAAAGAAAGCTGCTTTTTTCCCATTGATTGTTTGTCACATTTATACCGATGAGGTCTTTACACTCTCTTCATTCTAAGATTGATTTTGCAGCTACAAAAGAGCAGGAACAAAAACAAGTGATGAAACTGAGCTCAGTACAGCAATATCTGAAATATAGATCGAAGTGTCACACTCAATGTAAGTGGAGGATCTATTAAGGCTTTAGTCCATACATTTCTGATCCCGTGTGTGTGTAATACAGGAATCAATATTTCTGGCATTTAATTTCCACAGACTTTGGGCTCGACTTGCCCAATATGCACTCTGTCAGATGCCATTACACAATTTTACGAGAAAAGATTTTTCTCTTTTATGCTGAAAGGACTGTCTAGTTTATAATATGCAGTATAAGGGGAAATTATTATTTTTTATTCTGGTGCTTTTATGTACCAGGGGTTGTTTTGTTGAAACTATTATTTACTGTTCGAAGGAAATAAAATCCAGAGTTATTATAAAGCATTTTGAGGGACATACTGTAAACAATAACAATTCTAATGTATTTCCTGTTTTATATTTGTAACTTCCATAGCTTCTGTGAATCCAAAAAGGTCCACATATTGATACATAATGTTATGATAGCTGTTTTAACATTAAGTTATGATTGATTTATCTCTTATTATTGTTCTAAAATAGTTTGATAACAAGGAGGAAATGTTCATGAGTCAATGACATCACCACGTTCCCGGAGGAGCACCAGCTCTGCGCATTTTCCATGTTTCCTTAACCAAACACACTTGATTCAGATCATCAGCTCATTAGCAGAGACTGAAAGAGCTGTAATGGGTGTGACAGACGAAGGAGACATCCAAAACATGCAGCCCTGGTGGTCCTCCTGGAACGTGGTTGAGAAACACTGGTCTATAGTAAATGTTAACTGTAAAAAAATACAATTTTAGCTAGTTTCTGAGGGAATATTTCGCACTAACATTTGGTTTAATTTCAAATTAAAATAGTAACTTATACTGTATGTACCAGGGGTTGTTTGGTTGAAACTTATGGTTTTTGTGACCTTCAAACAACAAATAAGAGTTATTATATCAAATGTTAACTGAAAAAATATATATATTTAGCTAGTTGCAGAGGCAATGTTTCACATTTAAATCTGACTTAACTTGAAATTTAAAGAATTAAAAAAAATAATAAATAAAATAAAAAAATAAAATAAAGAAATTCTGTCAAAGAATGTGCAGGGGTGTAAAGATGGATTTGAATCCATCGAAAAGTCTTATCAATGGATAAGTCAAACTAGTATGCGGGGATGGCGGTCAGTGACATCTCAAAATGACAATAATGTCCCTTATCGCAACAATTTCTGTGATAATATATTGCTAAACAAAAATTCTTTATCATTATAGGCCTAAACAGCAGGTGTCTTCTAAGATAAAAAAGATCAAAACAGCTGATTAAACGCAGACAGTCATAAAATGGCCTCCACAGAGTCTAAACCTTAATATTATTGGGGCAGTATGGGATCACCAGGCCAGAAATATGAAAAATGACGTATAGATTACTTGATGAATTGGATGTTTATCAGAGAAGATGGGGAAAATATTTGGCATTTTTGAAAGCTGAATAAGGTCACTGTAGTGAGACGCATAAGTAAAGTGTAATTAAAAATAATCCTATTCTATTTATTTATTTACTTACTATTATTATTATTATTATTATTATTATTATTATTATTATTATTATCATTATTATTATTATTATTATTTGTTGTGTGTTTGTTTTTTAATTGAGTTTTTTTATTATTTACTGGTGTTTATTGAATTGATGATAGCAATATCTAATTAGTGTAACTGATGCTGTTGGTGAGGGGAACGGTAAATTGATGTTAAAAGGAGGTAAAATGTGTAAACTGATGAAACTGTTAAATTATTTAAGAAGAAAAAATGAATGTGTATGTATGTGCAGACAAATGAAGTAATAATGTACTTCTCTTCTTTTCTAGCGGAAGAACAGGAGCCTGCTGGTCAGTTTAGCATGGCTGGTCGGTTGGGGAATAATTCTGCTCACAGCTCGATTTCACTGGATGGGCAACAAGCCACCAAACTTCTCCAACTCGGACAACCCTGCAGCCGATTCACCTCATTTCCTCACTAGAGCGCTTACATTCCTGTACCTGCCATCTGTTAATGCCTGGCTCCTCCTCTGCCCTGACAAACTCAGCTTTGATTGGTCAATGGATGCTGTTCCTTTGCTCAAATCCATTGCTGATTGGAGGAACCTTCAGTCTGTTATGTTTTACACAGGATTTGCTCTCCTAGCATGGTTTAGCCTCAGAAACCCACCGCTACAGGCCACTAAAATCAACGAAAGCAATGGAAAATCACATGTGAGCAACGGAAAATATGCAACTAATGGATGCAGTCATAAGCACAATGACAATCACTACAGGGACTTAAACCTAAAAAGTAACGGATATCATAATAAATCCCTCAAAGTTTCTCCAAAAACACTTCCAGCCACAGAGAATGTGGTGGTGTTTTCTCTTGGGCTGCTGGTTTTGCCCTTCATCCCTGCCACTAATTTGTTCTTCTATGTGGGTTTTGTGGTGGCCGAGCGGGTGCTGTATATCCCCAGTATGGGCTTCTGTCTGCTCGTGACCGCCGGGGTGAGGAGCTTGTTTGTCCGTTGCCGGTCAAAAAGCTTCAGAGCTCTCCTGCTGACCTGTACTGCAGGTCTGGTGCTTCTCTACAGCCTGAGGACTGTGAGGAGGAACCAGGACTGGAAGAGTGAGGAGATGCTCTACAGATCTGGCATTGCTGTAAATCCTGCTAAAGGTGGGTTTGGAGAGCGATGATAATAATAAAGCATTATTATTGTATAAATTTAATATCTAGACAATAAACATTTAATGTAATTTCAAATCTATTGGTAATATACACAGTATATACAGTCAAAATGATTAGCCCTCTTGTGAATTCTTTTTTAAATATTTCCCAAATGATGTTTAACAGAGCAAGGAATTTTTCACAGTATTTCCTATAATATATTTTTTTTCTGGAGAAAGTCTTATTTGTTTTATTTCGGCCAGAATAGAATCAGTTTTTAATTTTCTTAAAATCATTTTAAGGTCAATATTATTAGCCACCTTAAGCAATATTTTTTGCTTGTCTACAGAACAAACCATTGTTATACAATAACTTGTCTAATTAACCTAGTTAAGCCTTTAAATGTCACTTTATGCTGAATGCTAGTATCTTGAAGCATATCTAGTCAAATATTATGTACTGCCTTCATGGCAAAGATAAAATAAATTAGTTATTAGAAATGATCGAATGATCAAACCTATTATGTTTAGAAATGTTGAAAATAAATCTTCTTAATGTTAAACAGAAATTGGGGAAAAATATACAGGGGGCTGATAATTATAAAAACTTCAAATGTTAGATATCATTCCATAATAAATGCCTAAATAAATGCTCTTCATGATGTTTTCCTCAGCTTGGGGTAATCTGGGTAATGTCTTGAAGAACCAGGGAAAGATGGCAGAGGCTGAGAGAGCATACAGAAATGCTCTGTATTACCGAGGCAATATGGCAGACATGCTCTACAACCTGTGAGTATACAAATATAGTCATAAATACATTTTTTTACACAGTCACAAAACACTTTTAAATGATCAGAATATTTTTGCACACTGTAAAAAAATGCTTCTCTTGCTTAATTTTTTTATGTCTTGTTTCTAGTCCAAATATCTAAAAATTCTTAAATCAAGAAGACTTTTCCTGGCAAGCAAAACATGATGTTTTTTTTAAAAGAAATAACATGCCAAATTGAAGTTATTTTGTCCTTAAAACAAGCTAAATAATCTGCCAATGCGGTAAAAAAAATAATCTTGTTTTTCCTTAAGATTTCCTAAGATTTTTTTTTTTTTACCCCATTGGCAGACTATTTAGCTTGTTTTAAGGACAAACTCACTTCAATTTGGCATATTATTTCTTAAAACAAGACATTATGTTTTGCTTGTCTTGAAAATACTTCTTGATTTAAGAATTTCTAAATACTTGGACTTGAAACAAGACAAAAAAATTTAAGTATGAAAATCATTTATTTCAGTGTAGATATTTTTAAAAGCAAAAAAATAATAAATAAAATGAAGTCGCACCGGAGTACACAAGATCTTAAAAAAATACTAACTTAAAAAACATAACTAGCTGGTCTCAATGTGATTTTTAGTGGATTTTGTTTACATGAAGCATCAACATGACTGCTAAATTTTACACAAAGTAAGTACATTTTATTTATATACTGTTGCACATTTATCACAGCAAGCCTGGCCAAAGTGCTGAACATACGCATGATCAGATAAAAGGTAAGAAGAATAAAACAAATACAAAACCAACTGATACAAAAACATGAAAATACACACAATAATTAAAAAGTTTGGGAGTAAAAACTGCATCTTTAACAACAAGGATGAAGTTGAAGTTGCAAGGCAGATGTTCAGAGGCAGTCTATTCCAGAGCATGAATATATTTATTATTATTTTTTAAACACATCAAACATTGTTTTGTCATGTTGTTGTCTGAAAAGCAGTGCTTTTTCTGTCTTTATGGAAAATAATGGGAACTTAAGGGTTTAATATGTTGTGATATTATCAATTCTCATGTATGCATTTGTGGCTAAAGTGTTCAAGTACTCACAGTATATACTCATGCTTTATATAAGGAAATTACCTATTTATATTTACCTATATATAAGGAAATAGCATGTTTTTACCTATTTAGTTTGTGCTGTCTTAATAAAAATAATTGATTTTATTTTTTTTTAAACTTAATGTTTTGTCATACATTAAATATTCAAAAACAAATATTTACATGAAGAACTTGCTGCTGTTTTTATATTTAAATCATACAAAATAATAATAATAATAATATTAATAATAATAATATTATTATTATTATTATTATTATTATTATTATTATTATTATTATTATTATTATTATTATTATTATTATTATATGCTATTCTATATTATTATTATACATTTTATTTTACCAGAAATAAGCAAACAACATGGTGGACTCCACAGCTCTTTCTCACTGTAATCCCTCAACAGTATGTGGGCTGTTAGTTTTGTCAAGGTCATACAGCTCTATCTTATCCAGTTTTCCATGGGAACTGCCAAAATCCAACGAACGTGCCTTCTGCAGAGTAGCAGACATGAACAGATGCAGTAGTACGCAATGTGGATTTGTGCCATAAAATTGTTTATCTATACTGCTGCAGTGCGAGTAATTCGTTCAAAAGTGGCCCTAAAATGGTAAGGAAAAGTTCAACCAGACCTTGTTAAAGGAGAGTCATACTTAGCATTCATACAAGGGATGTGGGAGGTTGAGGAGCAGTGCAAGTGTTTGCTATATCTCTCAGGGCGCGAGTGTGTGTGACAGGGATTTATAAGTCCTGATTTGCAGGCTTGAAGCATGAGAGACCTCTAACACTCATTAATACGGAAGCATATCAGTAGCAAAATTCTTATTCGGAAAATGACAATCCATTTCTGTATTCAAATTTGCATTCTCCCTGACACATGTGCAAAGTTTGGTCCATAATGAAATTATATAAGTATTATTGAAAGATAATAATTTAATAACTTGATAATATTCAACTTGAATTTAATAAATAAATAAAATAAACATTAATTTTGCTACTTACATGCTTCCATACAGTAACAATGGAGATAAAATTAATTCTCAATTTAATAGTCATATAACTTCACGGTAATGCTTTAAATCTTGTGCTGTATTTGCAAGCTGCATTTCTCAGAGATGTAATGTCAGACACAATGCACTTGATGAAGCTAGTGACGTCACTGGGAAAAAGCATTGCTTAAAAAGCATTGCATGCGGCTCAGATTGCAACTGCACTTAGTCTGCATCTAGACCCCTCTCAATTAATAAGCTAATATTGTTAGTTAATGGTTTATAAATACTGTGAATTGTAAACAAAAGGCTACCGTATATTGAGCTAATAGCAGTTTGTTAACGGGATGAATTGTGACTTAAATTGTGACCTACTTCAAATCTGACTTCTCATGCTTTAAAACGGTCTGTGTTTTTTTTTTGATTTAACACAGTGGTTTGCTGCTACAGGAGAACGAACGGTTTTCTGAGGCTCTTCACTATTATAAACTGGCCATCGGGAGCAGACCGACCCTGGCCTGTGAGTTCAGCTCTAAATATTTCACTTTATTGACCGTCAGAATGAGTCTCTTACTTATTGTCCTATTTCTCACAGCTGCATACTTGAATGTGGGCATCATTCTGGTCTCCCAGGGGAATATTGAAGAGGCCAAGCGGACTTTTCACACATGCGCGGACATCCCAGATGAGAATCTGAAGGACCCTCATGCACACAAAAGCTCTGTGACCAGCTGCTTGTACAACCTTGGCAAACTGCTGCATGATCAGGGCCAGCATGAGGTAGAGCTCAGCTCATTCATTGAGGATTATTGAAGTCTACATGCTCAGTTTAAATTAGATGTGTTTTTGTCATTTGTTTATTATTAAGCAGTTTTCTTATTAGATACAGACAAGCTGATTTTTGTGTGTCATCTACAGGAAGCGCTGTCTGTGTATAAAGAGGCAGTTCGGAAAATGCCACGACAATTCGCACCACAGAGTTTATACAACATGATGGGTATGTTCATTTCTCAGTTAAAATGCATTCAGGTGTAGTGAAATTTGAGAGTAAGAAAACACTTACATCTACGTATATAATTATGTTGTTAATTAGTAACTAAATTTATGGTAAACTTTTTACATTTATAGTAAATTTATAAACGCTCATTTACAAATCCTTTTGAAGATTTGGGCATTATAAAAATATTTATAATTGAGTTTTGTAATTAAAAGTATTTAGTCTCATCAGATTTTGAATTATTTTTGTCTTGTTTTTTTTTTGTACTTTTTAAAATCAACCAATAAGCATACTGCATTTTAAATTTAGAATATGACCTAAATGTTTTTAGTTTTTACATACTCAAAAGTTTGCGTGGCTTCAAAAGGCAAGACAGACACGTAACATTAAATTAAATTAAATTAAATTAAATTAAATTAAATTAAATTAAATTAAATTAAATTAAATTAAATTAAACATATATAAACAAAGACGACTGACCAAATAATTACGTAAAGTCAAATTTATTTGGCGTTAAAATTTTAAGGAGACAAAAATCTTGCTGAGGCAAATCTAAAATAACAAAGAAAAATTCAACAACTAACTAAGTTTCAAATCCTTTTACCTGCACATAAATAAAAACAAATTGAACTACATTCACTTACCTGCCAACCAACCACAAAATATGAGAAAACTTAATAAAACAATAGGGCACCCTCCTCATCACGTGTTGCCGTACATTATTCTACAATAGTTTACCAGTCAACACTCGACAATTTAAATTCGACAATATTGCAGAGCAAATACAACATAAGCTCTTATAAATGAACAAAACAAGCTGGGAGAGAGGAGATTCTCAGAATGATGGTCTAATCCAGTTTAATGAACTTCACCACTGTCACCAATATATATTTATTTATGTTTTACATTATATTTAAATATTATTTCACTATACTTTAATATTCAGAAAAATCTTTTTTTTATTCCCACCCCTAGTGATTTTTCATTTCATTAATAGTCTGCATTACTCCTCCTCTCATCCTATTATGAGGGGAAAAAATGCTTCTTGAGATGTGACTGGAATTCGATACATAAATAATGTGTCCTTGTGTTACTGTTTGAGTGTCCAGAGATGATGACTTTACATTTATTCGTTTGGCAGGCACTTTTATCCGAAGTGACTTTACTGCCCATTCAAGGCGTACATTAATAGTACATAGGAGATTCTTAGGGAACCAAAGGCATGACCTTGGTTTTGAAAGTTTAACTTGTAGTGTTTTGGTTTCTTTCCTTTCATTAATATTGTATGAAGGAGACTACAGCGGTCTTTTTCAATCTCACAACAGGGTTTACTTTTGATTCTGGACATCAGGCAGTATAAGATCTTTTTTTGTGTTAATGTGTAGTGGTTTTTTGTCTGTGAATCAATTTTGGGAAAATCAATATCTTAAAATGTTTTCAATCACTGTTCAAAATATAACATAGTGATGCATGCCTTTCAGTGCACTTGGATTGTTAACAAGTTTAGGTGATTTTCTGATTTTGGCCTACAGGTGAGGCGTATATGAGGCTGAATATTCTAGAGGAAGCTGGACATTGGTATAGAGAGTCACTAAAGGCCAAACCAGATCATATTCCTGCCCACCTGACCTATGGAAAGCTACTGTCTATTATGGTGAGTCAATCTGATTAGAACATTATTGACACGATTGTGTTCATGTTCATATTAGTATAATATAATTAGGCTCTTTCATCCATCCATTTATCATTTCTTTTTCCTTTCTGTCCTTTCTATGTGGCCATCCGTCTATTCATCATCCCTTTTTCAATTCATTCTTCAGACAATTACCATCCATCCGTCCATTCATCTAATTATCCATTCATTCATGCATTTTCCTGTCCATCCATCCATCCATCCATCCATCCATCCATCCATCCATTTTCCTGTCCATCCATACATCCATATATCAATCCATTCATCCATTCATTTTCCTGTCCATCCATCCATCCATCCATCCATCCATCCATCCATCCATCCATCCATCCATCCATCCTTTTTTCTGTCCATCCATCCATTTTCCTGTCCATCCGTCTATCCATCCATCTATCCATCAATTTTCCTGTCTATCCATCCATAAATCCATCCATCCATCCATCCATCCATCTATCCATCCATCCATCCATCCATCCTTCCATTTTCCCATCCATCCATCCATCCATTTTCCTGTCCATCCATCCATTCATATATCAATCCATTCATCCATCCATTTTCCTGTCCATCCATTCATCCATCCATCCATCCATCCATCCATTCATCCATTCATCCATTTTCCTGTCCATCTGTCTATGCATCCATCTATCCATAAATTTCCTGTCTATCCATCCATCAATCCATCTATCCATCCATCCTTCCATTTTCCTATCCATCCATCCATCCATCCTTCCATTTTCCTATCTATCTATTTATCTATCCATCCATCCATCCATCCATCCATCCATCCATCCATCCATCCATCCATCCATCCATCCATCCATCCGTCCATCCATCCTTCGTCTTATCTATATGTCCTTCTTTCCGATCGAACTTTAATCCTTCTCTCTATTTGTTTTTTCATTCATTCATCCATCCGTTCTATTAATCCATCTATAACTAACACAACTAAAAATGCTCCTATTGTACCTCAGACTTTTGCCGCTGTATTTGTGACTTACATATTTTACCCGCTATTTATAAATTCTGTATGAATGTGAAAACCTAAAACCAAATGGATTTGTCAAAGCGTTATTAAATATTAAATTGATTTCGTTTGATTTTAAACTAGAAATGGGTGATCAAGTGGAAAGAAGAATCCAGAGACGTCTGATGAGAGTCTTTCTTAAAATCATTTTTGCCACAGGCGATCTTTAAGAGGCTCAGTGCTGAGGAAAAGAAATAAATTGCTTTGACCTTGAGAGGAGCATCGACTCAAAACAGTCACAGAAATCAGCACCAACATCACTGTGATGATCATCGCCATTGAATATTCCCATTTATTGTTATTATTATTAATTTTCCTCTTCCCCTGCATAAGAAATAGACAGTGTCCTAGCTATTTTCCTTTCTGACCATCATGATGTAAATGCAGAGGGGGTATAAAGAAAGGTCGAGCAGCTGTGTTTCCCCCAGGACGCGATATCTCATATCCTCCTCCTAATCTGATTTGGGTTTGTCTCTCGGCACGACTGGTCAAGAGTCCAGACTATTGCTTCAAACATGCTTGCTTACTTTAAAACCCCCCACCGACCTGCCCACTTAATACACACAGATTAAAACCAGTTATTACCCCTCAAGCGCCGTACTTAATGTAATTACTCTCTCCTTATTGAAAACAGGTCATTGGTGAACTTTTGACCATCTGTCGAGGAACTGCAGTGTTTTACCTGAGAAATTAGTTGCAGCTGAACAAAATGGCTAATGTTTTGTTATGATGTACCTCACTGTATTTATCAGATGTCCAAAAACTGAAGATTCAGGACATTTAATGTACTGCTTCTTCTTTTTCTGTCCTGTATTATATAGAGAAATCTGTGTTTGAACACAGTTTCTGAGGTGGGTTTTACATTGAAACCTTTAAAAGCTAATTAATCGCTTCAGTCAGATGATAAAATCTCAGTCTGAGGCTAAAATAATAGCTCGTTTTGTATTTACCCTTTTGGATTCAGATCTGAAGCCATTTAGCAGTCTTGACTGCTAAGTATTAAGTATTATAGACCTATACATTTTTGATAAGCGCTTTTGGATGTAGTTGAATGCTTTTCAGCAACCGCAGCCAACGAGAGCATGCAATACTACGGCTTTCCAAGTTATTTCTTTTATCTAAAGTGTTTAGCACAGAAGCGTTCATTGTAGCAAGTCTAATATGACCGCGCTGTTTATGACAAGACTGTTTGCTAAGGTAACACCAACATGGAAGCAATCAGCGCTGAACCATAAAGAAAGTGAGACAACTGCTCATTAAACATGAAGAAACGAGTACACAAGTGCGCTTACTTTCCCACGCTATGATAACATCTAACATCATACGTTGTGCAAATTTAAAGCATCCGTTTACGACCGTGCTTCTTCATTAGTGACGGTGGGTGCGGGCTTAATTGTTTCTTAATTTCTCCACAGGGACAGAAGTCTGAAGCAGAGCGTTACTTCCTGAAGGCGATAGAGCTGGATCCTGCTAGAGGAAACTGCTATATGCATTATGGTGGGACATTAATTAGACAACTGTACTCACTTAAAACAGTTGGGTTAATAATAACCCAACAGGAAACCCAACAATGTTTTTTTTTTTTTTCTTAAGAACCGCTGTTAGGTTATTTTAATCCAATATATTAGGTTGTTTATGACGATAATAATAATAATAATAATAATAATAATAATAATAATAATAATAATGATGATGATGATGATGATGATGATGATAATAATAATACTAACAATAATAATAATAATAATACTAACAATGATAATAATAATAATAATAATAATAATTGTAATAATAATAGTAATAATGATGATAATAATAATAATAATAATAATTGTAATAATAATAATAATAATAATAATAATAATAATAATAATTGTAATAATAATAATAATAATAATAATAATAATAATAATAATAATAATAATAACAACAATAATAATAATAATAATTGTAATAATAATGATAGTAATAATAATAATAATAATAATAATAGTTATTGTAATAATAATAATAATTGTAATAATAATGATAATAATAATAATAATAATAATAATAAATAAATAAATTACGTATTATGCACTTTTCTTAGAGATTATCCCAACAAATTTTAATTACAACCCAACTAAATGAGTTCTTATGGATGCAATTTAATAAATGTTCAACCTAACGTAGCGACCAAATATTTTTACCCTTCTATTGGGTTAAATTATTAGCCCTACATTTTGTGTGTATGTGTCTTTACCTCTCTTGTTCTTATTTAACAGCTGCTTATTTATCAGTGAACAATTATTTGTTAATCAACAAAGTTTATTAATAATGTCATCTTTGCATTTAAAATGTCAGATCTGTGAAAAAGACACTTAATGACAGTTTTCCTCCTAAGCATGCATACAATATCCTTCACATTCATGACATGATTATAAAGGTTTTATAAAGGAGTCTTTTGTTATGAAGTGTGAAATTGTGAAGTCTTAAATAACAACCAATGTTTTACCGTTTTTCTCTATTGGTTTGGCTCATTTCTTGAAACAGGAATTACTTTCTCAAAACAACATGGACAAACCTTTAAACCACTTGGCAAGTGTTCAGAACAGAATTGATTTTGTAATTCATTTAATCAAATTGCAAATGTCCAAGTTCATCTTTGCAATTGAATATGTACCGGTAGCCTACTTTTAGCACAATTTACCAATGTCATTAAACATTGTAACACTTTAAAATAAGGTTTCGTTAGTTCATTTACTAAACATGAACTAATTATGAACAAATGCTTGTATAGCATTTGTTAATCATAGTTCACCATTTACTAATGCATTATTAACATCCAAACTCAAGCATGTTAACATTAGTTAATGAACTGAGTTAACAAAATAACAATAAGCCGATGTATTTTCATTAACTAATGTTAACTAACATGAAATAATACAACTTTATTGTGAAGTTTTACCAAACATGTTTACAATTAATAAATAAAATTTTTACGAAAGTTATTTATGCAACCAATTTTTATTTAACAACCAGTCATTTATTTACCAGTCAACAATAAATTTTGTGTTTTAATAAGCAAATGATCATTATTTGAAGAGTTAAGATGCAAAAACCTCTAAATGCCGTCTGAAATTTTCCTCTAAAATTAGTATATTATCAGGCTCCAGTGTTTATGTTCAGTAATATCACTTTTATGGCAAAGAATAAGCCCTTTTCCTGGTGTTTAAAGTGAAATATCTCAACATAAACAAAGAAAAATGTTGATTTTAGATGGACATTTTAGACGGCACTTAGAGGTTTTTGCATCCAAACTTTTAATTTATTCATCATCCAATCAACAACAAATGTTTCCTATAAATTAAAAATTACATATAAATATGAATAATAATAAGTATAATTATTTTTATTATTATGATTATTATTATTATTATTATTATTATTATTATTATTACTATTATTTATTATTATTATTATTATTATTATTATTATTATTATTATTATTATCTATAATTATTATTATTTTTATTTTTATCATTATTTATTATTATCATTATTTATTATTATTATTATTATTATTATTTATTATTAATATTATTATTTATAATTATTATTTATAGTTATTATTATTTTATCATCATTTATTATGATCATTATTTATTATTATTATTATTATTATTATTATTATTATTATTAATATTATTATTATTTATATATTTATTATTATTTTTAATTGTTATTTATTATTACTATCATTATTATTATCATTATTATTATTAATTATATTTTTATCATTATTAGTATTGTTATTATTATTATTTTTATTATCATTATGATTATTATTTATTATTGTTATTATTATTATTATTATTATTAATAATATTATTATTATCATTAATATTATATATATATATATAATTATTATTATTGTTGTTATTATTATTATTATTATTATTATTATTAACACTATTATTATATACTAGCCACTCTAGACCTCTCAAAAAAAATGTTTGAATTGCTGAAATTAATCTGTAATCTTTGCATGTCCTGAAGCAGCAGATGATCTCTTTTCTGCATGTTCAACTTCATCTGTCTCTCACTTTTACTTTTCTTTTGTCTCTGTGTTTTTGGCTGCATTTGTTCTGCACATCTGCACTTATTTTCGAGTGCAGACCTGCTGCGTTGGAGTTGTTTTCTCTCCTGTGAGCTCATCTTTGTGTGTCTCTCTCTCTCTCTGTCAGGTCAGTTTCTGTTGGAGGAGTCTCGTCTGGCAGAGGCAGCGGCGATGGCTCAGAAAGCTGCAGAGCTGGACAATGAGGAGTTTGATGTGGTGTTCAGCGCTGCTCATATGCTGAGGTGTGTGGATTTCTGGAGAGTTAATGACCCTCCAGCTAAAGCCTATTCTGCTTATTCCACTGCTAATTGACTAATCATGCATGGATGTATTGATTTTAATTAACTTAAAATTTTTAAAAGTTTGGTTAATTAATATTTAACTCGAATTATTGCGAAATAAAGCAGCAGAGTTGTATAAAAGAAATTAAACTAGCATTACTCATTATGTTTTATTATTAGACCACTTAACGCATCGAGTCTGTGGTTCTCAATCCCCACTCCAGCCCTGCCATGCATGTCTTCTTTACTTGACACACCTGATTCAGATCATACTGTAAGTTCATTACCAGATTTATACCAGTTTTATAAACTGATCCTCATGTGTCAAAATAAGAGAGACATACAAAATTCTGAGGACTGGAATTGAGAATCACTGCATTAAGTGAAACATTAAACAGAGTTAAAATAATGTAATGTGGGTCCAATAGATTTAAATGAACTTCATCATTGTCTCTGTATCACATTATTAATCACAGGGTTTAACACTAAGGATGTTTTCTACTGGCCCAGTTGGACCAGTGGTTCAGATTTTACCTGCCCTGCCAAACTTTTCACTGGCCCTACCAAAAAAACGGCAAACTTTGCAAAACATCACTTGAATTATTTCGTTGTGTTGTACCCATGTAAATGTTTCCACAATGTTAGAAACAGACGTTTTCTTTTAGCTTCATGATTTGATGTTGCGGTCATGTTGCCAACTATTAAAATTTACTAACAAGGCAGCACTGCACCGATCGGGCCAGTAACGATTCTGTCTACAGTCCTGTGCATCTCTCACGCTGGCCATTGGGCACTCCATATTATGTTGAGTCCTGAATCATATTTATAATAATTAGCAAGTTACAGATGTAAAAATCATATTTTTACCATCATTCTTATTCCTATAAACACTCTTATCACTGTGAAATACTTAACAAATCATGTTAATAATTATTCATTATAATTTACAGTTAAATTGATATTTTTTTGTGGGCTTGAGTATTGTCAAGTTGATGAATTTGTCATTGTTGATCACAAAACATAATAATTTGTATAATAATTGATTTTATTATTTTAAACATAAGTTGTTGTCAAATGCGTTCTCTTGCTAATAATAATAGTCAGCCATGGTTATTGTCATATTATTGTGCTATTTTATTACTGTGATTTTAAATTAAAGGCTTTAATAATGTGTGTATGTGTGTTTGTTTACAGACAGGCCAGTCTTAATGAGGAAGCTGAAACATATTATGGCAAAGCAGCTGTTTTAAGACCTGATGTAAGTAGCTTCCTTAGCCATTTTATTACATGTTATATATGAAGTTAACTTGCAGAATTACTGAACATTTACAGTAAATGTGTTTAGTTTTTTTGCAAACTTGTGATTTGGCCCACACGGAATCTGTGCGCGCAGATTTCTACAGATTTTTTGCCCATCATTGATCCTGTTCATTTACTAGTGTAAATGTGTGTACATTTATATTGATTCAGTTTTTAAATTAATTTCAGTACAATTATTGACTAACACAACACAATTGACTAACACAACAACACATGTTGTTATGATTTATTTACAATACAGTTTGTACAGTCATATTTTCTGTCTTTTATTATAGATAATATATGCTTCGTTTACCAAATAAAGTGGATCTAGTTGGATTTGCATAGTACACATTAAATACAAGTTAAAAAGGTATTACTTTTAGTTTATATGTTAAGATTTTAGTTATGATACTCCCAAAATAACTCTAATTTTAACAAAATTCTGCGCAGAAATAGCAAAAAAATGTCCACAGATTCCATCTGTCCCTACTTATGATTACCTGATTTGTTGCACATTATTTCCTTAATTTTATAACTGTCTGTATCCTTTTTCTCTCTTTCAATATCTCTCTTTGTTGTTCTCCAGCATCCGGCAGCTCTGATGAATCTCGGTGCCATCCTGCACCTCAATGGGAAGCTGAAGGAAGCTGAGAGCAACTACCTCCGTGCACTGCAGCTCAAACCAGATGACCTTATCACTCAGTCCAACCTCCACAAGCTCTGGAACGTCATGCAGAAACAGGGTCTGAGAGCCACTGCCACATGATCACACTCAGCTGTGGATGTCTGATCTTATAGACATGGACTTCTGTGCCGATTCGGCTCTTGTGGACTGATGTTGGTGGATCTGGTTAAACTTGAACTGACTGTTCTGGAGGTAGTGAAGAAACCATAAAGAATGTAAAGAATTCTACAATGCACAGACAAAGAAGAAGTGTGTTTATGAGGATTTGGATGTTGTTGTTTTTTTCTGAGAGCACTGACCTGGATGCATTCACAGTACATAAACTGCAACAAAAATGCCTTTTGGATTTGATATCGCACCCCTGATGTTTTTTTTTATTTTTTATAAAGAACTTTGAAAAAAACCTAAATGGTCATTTTGCATATGTTAAATTTGCCTCCTTTTAATTTATTGTTGATCTATCAGCAGTTTTGATGACTGTAAATAAAATGTTCAATCTCTCCATCACTCATCCCCAACCCTTTGTTGAAGCACTATTATGTTTGTTGATGTCTTGATGATCATTTTGTTTAATATCAGGCTTTTTGTCAAGACATTTTAACACAATAAAAATGTATGTTCAACCAGAAAAAAATAGTTAGATTTTTATTTTAAGTAAACCATTTCAATAAACGATTTCTGCATTAAACTTTGATAGGATTTACATTTAAACATAAATGACAAAATGCTTTACAGCTGGTTTGCAGTGTTTACTGCCCTCTATTGGAAGATAGACCTGTTGCAGATTTTGCAAGGATGCTTTGCCACCCTATATTTAGAATAACCAATGTTTTGCTGCCATCTTGTGTGTAACAAGAGCATTGCCAAATTCAACACAAAGGCTGCTAAATTGTGTAATGAATGAAATGACCAATTCTTATATTTTTTGTTGTTGTTTAATGCTCAATTATTATATGTAATTGGCAATTTTCTAACAATAAACATGAAACACTAATATATGCAGTTTGATTTAAATACTCTGCTAAAATGTTATTCCAAAATAATTAAAACATACATTTTGAGACCAAATTATGTTTTTATGTTTTATGGTAAGTCTAGATCCGATCTTAAATTTACGTGTGTGTTAATTTAAAGTTGAAGATGTTTGAAATTATCATAATGTCTTTTTAAATGCACTCTGATCAGTGTGTGTCTTTCAGCAGGTGTTCTGATTCTGATGCTGTAAATATCCTTCCTCTCTCTGAAATCTTCAAAGTCTTCTGCTTGGTTTGTGGCAATTTTTGCATCTGGTGTGTATACAGTATGTGTAAGTGCATGTGTGTGTGTGTGTGAGCGCTCAAGGAAGCATCTCTATATGGGAGAGGAGGAGTAGTAATTTTCACTGATGACGTTCTTTTTATAAATATGGTGAACATCAGAAATGCCTCCTCTGATTTGTCGCTGAGGTTGTTTGATGATTTCCTCTGTTCTGTTTAATAAGGTAATGATGAACTTGATTGGAAAGTTTTGGGGCTTGCGTTTCTCTTTAGGAGTCTAACAGGAGCCACTTTCTTTAGTGTGTTTGAGGGAGCAACAGAGACCATTTGCTGATGTCTGAGCAGATTATGAGTACCAAACAGAAGATGATGAGTAGATACCTAATTCTCATGTTTCTGATAAAATTCATCAATGCAGGTAGGTTTATTCTTTTAATTTAATTGTGGAAATAATTAAAGTTCATGTTTTTAAATGTTTGTTTTTATGAAATAATATATATACTGCGACTGACTGATATCTAACTTTCCTATATTATCTTTATATTGTGCATTTATATATTAGAGCTAATTTTTTCTTCCTTTATCCCCTCTATCTTCCCCCTTTTTTAGTTTTGTTAGCTCCTTTCTTGGTCTGTTATTTATCTTTTGCTCAAACAGTTGGTGTTAATGTGAGACTGATGAATGGTACCAGTCGCTGTGCTGGTCGAGTGGAGGTTCTTCATAGAGGTCAGTGGGGAACAGTGTGTGACATTGGCTGGGATATGGCTGATGCTGCAGTGGTGTGTAGAGAACTGGACTGTGGAGAACCTGTAGATACTCTAGGTGATGCTCCTTTTGGACCAGGACCAGGACCAATTTGGATAAATAGGGCCATGTGTAGTGGATCAGAGTCAACACTGAAGAACTGCGGGGCAGATGGATGGGGTAAACGAAGACCTTGTGATACTAAAGATCCTGGAGTCATTTGCTCAGGTGAACTTAGCTCTGATATAAATAAATACATTTAAAAATACAGTTTTACTGTTTTTAATGTCTTGGTTAAAAGTGTATTATAATTAAAATGAACTAATAAATAAATATGAATATGTTGTTGCTGCCTGTGGCTTAAATGCTTAATGTAGACACATACAGTTGAAACAGTCCCTGTTTGTTTTTTTTCCCTAAATTTTGTTTAACGAAGAGAAGATTTTTTCAACACATTTCTAAACATAATATCTATAATAACTTGTTTCATATATTTTTCAAGACACTTCTATACAGCTTAAAGTGACATTTAAAGGCTTAACTAGTTTAATTAGGCTATCTAGGCAGGTTAGGGGAATTAAGCAAGTTATTGTATATCAATGGTTTGTTCTGTTGCCCGGGAAAAAATATAGCCTGAAGGGGCTAATAATTTTTACCTTAAATATATATATATTATTTTAATAAAAAAAGAATTTAAAAAAATATTATCATAAATACTGTGAAAATTCCTTTGCTCTGTTTTTGATATATTTAAAAAAAAGAAAAACTATTTAAAGGTTAAATAATTTTGCAGTTTAATAATTCTGACTTAAACTGTATTCAGGGTTACGCTTAACTAATTTCTATTAACAAATTAGGGTATACAAGTGTGTTAAGTGTAGCCATGGTTTTCTTTTTACGCATCTTCATGATCTTTGTTTTTTATAAGAATTCCAGTAATGTGGATGTTTGATGAACGTTTTTCTTCTTGTACACCCGTAGTACCTGTTGTTATTAACAACTTCACATAAATTACTTTTTTTTTTAACACTTTTTAAATGATCTTTGTTCTTGTAGAGGTCAGGCTGGTTGGAGGTTCTCGCTGCTCTGGGATGTTAGAGATCCTTCATAATCAGACGTGGATGTCAGTGTGTGATGCTGCCTTTGACCAGCAGGATGCAGAGGTTGTGTGTAGAGAGCTGGACTGTGGGGCTCCTGTACAGGTGCTGAGAGCTGCTGCTTTTGACAAAGGAGATGCTCAGATGTGGACACAAGAGATTCACTGCACAGGAAATGAGTCTCAGATTCACCTCTGTCCAACATCACCTTCACAGGAAAATAACAGTTCTCATTACAGTGTTGGACTAGTTTGTGCAGGTTGACAATCATTTCCATATTATTTACATTTAAATCTGTAGACTGACAATGAATTAAGATTCTACAGTGTTCTTCACTAATATTGGTATCCTTGGTAAATATGATCAAAATAGGTTGTGGAAAAATGTCTGTTTTCTCTTGGTCTTCTTGATGTTCTTTTCTCTTTCATCCTCAAAAGTTTCACAAAAAAATAGCTTAATACCATTTTTAGACAAAAATTAGGTTTATGAGAACAGATTTTTACAGTGATATAGAGGGGTTGCACAATGAAAGTGAAATGCCTGGTTTACGACCACAATAATTCATTAGTTTGATGTAGTGCTTCCTTTTGCAGCCAATTCACCATTAGTTGGTCTTGGGTTGGTCCTGCACAGTGGCCAGAGAGACTTTGAGCTGTTCTTGCAGAATAGTGGCCAGGTCACTATGTGATGTTGGTGGAGGAAAACATTTCCTAACCTGCTCCTTCAATACTCCCCAAAATGTAGGAAAGTCAGTGAAGGTGGACTCATGAGAGAACAATACATGTTTTACGTTTTCCACAGCCCAATATTATTTGCAGCTGGCACCACTGAACCTGACATTGTCATTGGCATAAGTGAAAGGTTTGGCTATAACAGGCCTGCCATGTATATTGACCCTGTGAAGGTCCATTTTTTGGTGAAAACAGGCGAGTGGAGGTGCATCATTAACTTCACAGTGAAATGGGCAACTGTGGTTTTATGTTTCTTGTATACAATCCAGGTTAGCACCCTGACATTTGTTTCAGACAGATTCCTCTTGCATCCACAGTAGTCTTCACTTGTAGTCTTCAGCCTTCCTGTTAGTTTGGAAAGACGGAGTGGAAATCCCACTCAGAATGCGGAAAAACCAGACAGGTTACGTAAAGAACGTCCACAATAAGTTGTGAATATGTAGATTATTGTTCATAATACTTACTGCCCCTGAGCATAAATAATCTTTTGGGATTATTTAATTGCCATGAGAAATCATTCCTTTACAAATGTGATATCTTCTTAACACATAATTACTCTGTTCTCTGATAGAGATGGATCTTAACATGAAATATCCAAAATAATTTGGACATATTTAGTCCCAATTAAGACAGACTTTTTTCCCTAACACAAAGTAAAAATTAGACACTTGGAAAACATTTAAAATGTGCACTATGAAAGAAAATATTATTCATGTAGATTTTTTACTTATGAGTAGGCCCACACATAATCTGCGTGCACAGAATTCCGCAGATTTTTAGCAGATTTCCACAGATATTTAGCCCATCATTAATTCTGTTTATTTACTTGAGTAAATGTGTGTAAATTTATATTTATTCAGTTTTTAAATGAATTTTAGTAATATTATTGATTAATATGAAAATGGTCATCTGATTTATGTACAATGCAGTTTGTACAGTAATATTTTCTGTCTTTTAGTAGATATGTTATATGAGAGACTTTCTTTTTTACCAAATAAAGTGAATTTAATTGGATTTGCATTTTGAACATTAAATAAAAGTTAGAAATATATTATTTTTTAGTTCATATATTACGGTTTTAGTTATGATACTCCCAAAACAATTCCGCAGAAATCTACAGATTTTTACCAAAATTCTCTGCAGAAATAGCACAAAACGTTTGCAGATTCCATCTGGCCCTACTCATGAGTATTCTTAGAAAAGCTAATAATTGTGACATTATTTTTTGCACCCTTTTAAAATTGATACTTTTAATAAAGACTGTGTGAATAAGTCTGCTTTAATTAAAAGTCAATTTTGACAATATGTTAAATGAATACATTTTTTCACTGCTTGTTTTACTTACAAAGGGTGCTAATATTAACTGAATATTTTGTATTTGTATTTACTAATTTTTTCTTCTCTTTAAAATCTGTACAACTTTCATTCTTTCTGTTCGAAATGTAGAAAATGTCAGGCTGGTTGGTGGTCACAGTCGCTGTGCTGGTCGAGTGGAGGTTCTTCATAGAGGTCAGTGGGGAACAGTGTGTGATGATGGTTGGGATTTGGCTGATGCTGCAGTGGTGTGTAGAGAACTGAACTGTGGAGAACCTGTAGATGCTCTGCGTGATGTTCAATTTGGACCAGGATCAGGACTAGTCTGGATGAGTTCTGTCATGTGTTCTGGATCAGAGTCAACACTGAAGAACTGTGGGTCATTAGAATTGCGTAAATCTGGCTGTTCTTACGGTAATTATGCTGGAGTCATTTGTTCAGGTAATTAAGATAAATTTAATAATATAAATAATTTGAAGTAAATACACTAAACAGTCATGCTGCATTTGCACAAGCCATTAGCACAAAAAAACGGCCTATTATGAGGTTACATTTGTTAACATTAGATTTCATGAACTGACAAGAATTATACTTTTACTCCATTTTTATATATATTAATTTTAATTAGATTTCACAAAGGAAATGTTTATAAATTTCACAATTAAATAACATAAAAAGGCAGATAACACATTAAATTAAATGTGAAGGTTTAAAGACTGGAACTCTTTAAAATGTACTTTAATGCATAATTGATCATACTTTATGATGAACATTTCTGAACAAAAATTATATACAGTATCAACAAATGTTTTAATATAAAGCTATTACTATTAAGTGGCTTTGCATGATGTTAATACATTAATAGTATTATTAAATGTTAATTTTCTTTTCCTTTTTTATCAGAGGTCAGGCTGGTTGGAGGTTCTCACTGCTCTGGGAGGTTAGAGATCCTTCATGATCAGACGTGGATGTCAGTGTGTGATGCTGCCTTTGACCAGCAGGATGCAGAGGTTGTTTGTAGAGAGCTGGACTGTGGGGCTCCTGTACAGGTGCTGAGAGCTGCTGCTTTTGACAAAGGAGACGCTCAGATGTGGACACAAGAGATTCACTGCAGAGGAAATGAGTCTCAGATTCACCTCTGTCCAACGTCACCAGCAGAGAAAAACAACTGTTTAGATATCAGCACAGTTGGGCTGGTGTGTGCAGGTTAGATTTAATTTCCTTTGTGTGTGTGTGTGTGTGTGTGTGTGTGTGTGTGTGTGTGTGTGTGTGTGTGTGTGTGTGTGTGTGTGTGTGCGTGTGTGCGTGTGTGCGTGTGTGCGTGTGTGCGTGTGTGCATGTGTGTGTGTTTGCCTTATAACAATAAAACATCTTAATCATCTCATAATATTATTTATAATATCTTCATTCTTTTTTTTAATATGTAGACCATGTCAATGTTAGACTTGTAAATGGTCACAGTCGCTGTGCTGGTCGAGTGGAGTTTTATCACAGAGGTCAGTGGGGAACAGTGTGTGACAGTTGTTGGGATTTGGCTGATGCTGCAGTGGTGTGTAGAGAACTGGACTGTGGAGAACCTGTAGATGCTCTGGGTGGTGCTTACTTTGGAAAAGGATCAGGACCAACCTGGATAGGTTTTGTCACATGTACTGGATCAGAGTCTACACTGAAGAACTGTGGAACAGGAAGGCGTTTTGCAAGCTGTGAGCTTGCAAATAGTGGAGATGCTATAGTCATCTGCTCAGGTAAACTGCTCTAAACCTATTTACGACCTGCCTTTAATCAACCAATTTTTATAAATAAATAAATAAAAAATAAAATATGTAATAAACACAGTCTAAAAAGGGGAGATGGTTTTGAAATTCATATTTTCAAATGCATTTGTTTTAATAATAATACAGAGAACAGAATAATATCAATTTGGTCTTTTTTTTATGAATACATTTTAAAAAGTGTTTTTCTTGTCATTTTGAATCTTTTCGACTCAATCATTTTGACTTTAATTTTCAGTGTCACATGATCCTCAAATACTCAAACATTTTGTCTTATTGGTATAAAAGACTGTTTATTTTGATTTTCCTTTTATAAAAAATTTAATGGAAATCTTTGTTAAAAATTTAAATGTTGTTAATGTTATTTGCATGGTTTATTACACATTTTGCTTATGTAGGCATACAAATCAAGGCTGGGTACATCTCGACATATAGGGCCCAATGTAATTACTTATGTAGAAAATATATTTGAAATTTATATATACTATATATATATATGCATGTTTGTAAAATTTATATATACTATATATATGCACGTTTGTAAAATAAGTATCGTAAATAGGTATTAAACACGTCATGTTTTTTTCCTGGGAATAATATTTCTAAGGAGTTGTTGACATGGAAACTAACCAGATTTTGGTAAAAACCCAAACAATACAAGCATAAAAATAAAACAAAACAAAATAAATCTAAAAAAAATGTTGTGTAATAACAATGAAATGACAGAAGGAGAGGGTGCTGAACCACTGAACTGTATTTAATACTTTAAATAAAAGACTTTTTGGTGATGGCAGCTTAAAGACACCGCTCATATGGAGAACAAAAGTCACATGCATTGTTCAGGTTTGAGTTTTTCAGAGACTCCAAAAAATCTTGATGGTTCTTTGAGTCTTGTCTGTCAAATCTGAGCTTTATTTTGTATTTTCTATAGGATACAAGTTATTGCTGGGACATTCTACTGCTTGATTTTACAGATTAAATGGCCCCAGGGGGATTAATAAAGCTTTAAAGTTTAGCTACTAATCTAAACTAAGCCTCCCTTACTTCATGGGTTTAATACTTTTTCCCTGTGTCATTTCATCTTGTTTTCTTTACATATATTGATTTCTTTGATTGTTACCAACATCCAGCAGAATTTCTAGCGTTATTTTTTCTTTTTTTATCAGAGGTCAGGCTGGTTGGAGGTTCTCGCTGCTCTGGGAGGTTAGAGATTCTTCATGATCAGACGTGGATGTCAGTGTGTGACGCTGCCTTTGACCAGCAGGATGCAGAGGTTGTGTGTAGAGAGCTGGACTGTGGGGCTCCTGTACAGGTGCTGAGAGCTGCTGCTTTTGACAAAGGAGACGCTCAGATGTGGACACAAGAGATTCACTGCACAGGAAATGAGAGTCAGATTCACCTCTGTCCAACGTCACCAGCAGAGGAAAACAACTGTTCACATGACAATAGTGTTGAACTGCTTTGTGCAGGTTGGAATTAACCTTTTTTTGTTGAGCAAATGTTATTAAAATGCAATGTTGTCATTTTGTTAAATCTGTTTCATCTTATTTTCTCTGTTCAATGTGCAGAAAGTTTAAAAGTGAGATTGGTTGATGGGAACAGTCCCTGTGCTGGTAGAGTGGAGGTTCTTCATCGAGGTCAGTGGGGAACTGTGTGTGACATGTTCTGGGATTTGGCTGATGCTGCAGTTGTGTGTAGAGAACTGGACTGTGGAGAACCTGTAGATGTTTTGGGTGATGCTTATTTTGGACCAGGATCTGGACCAACCTTGATGTCAGTTCCGATGTGTATTGGATCAGAGTCAACACTGAAGAACTGTGGGTCATGGGCATGGGGTAAACCTGTGTGTGCTCACAATGAAGATGCTGGAGTCATTTGTTCAGGTCAATAAGTTCACTAAGCAGTCATGTCACATTTTCACAGTAGACTGTTGTTTGTGATTATTACAAAAACACACATCCATTATCTAGCCTAATTAAGCCTAATTATCTAGCCTTATTATTTACAAGAGAGAAAACATCTTATATGTTGTATCAACATGTAATATGTATTTTCCACTAGAGTGGAAAGTTAACCTGATATGATGATTAATGTGTCCTTTTTGTACAAATTGGCATAACTTAACAAAATCTTAAAGAATCTAACGTTTTTGAACATTAATTTTTATTTAATTTTATATGAACAGGTCATAAACATTCCAGGCTCGTCAATGGATCTCACCTGTGCTCTGGGAGGTTAGAGGTGGCTCATGGGAACACTTGGATGTCAGTGTGTGATGCTGCCTTTGACCAGCAGGATGCAGAGGTTGTGTGTAGAGAGCTGGACTGTGGGGCTCCTGTACAGGTGCTGAGAGCTGCTGCTTTTGACAAAGGAGACGCTCAGATGTGGACACAAGCGATTCACTGCACAGGAGACGAGTCTTATATATTTTTCTGTCCAACATCATCTTCTCTCAAAGACAGTTGTACCAATGGAAACATTGTCGGATTAATCTGTTCTAGTTAACTATCAATTTACCATGTCTTTTTTTCGTAAAGTATATCTCTTTCTGTAAACTGCATTACACTTTGTTTCTAATCCCTTTGTTTTTTGTCTAGGTTACACTGATCTCAGACTGGTCAATGGTCCTGACTCCTGTTCTGGTCGAGTTGAACGTCAGTACTACAGTAAATGGGGCACAGTGTGTGATGCATGCTGGGATATGAGAGCTGCCAGTGTCCTCTGTAAACAGCTGAATTGTGGGATTGCTGTGTCTGTTGTGGGATCAGACTGGTTTGGAGAGGGAAGTGGTGAAATCTGGGCTGATGTGTTTAATTGTGACGGGAATGAAACAAAACTCTCCGAATGTTCAATCTCTTCATGGAGTCGAGCTGAACGTTCTCATAGACGAGATGTTGGAGTCATCTGCTCTAGTGAGGACATTTTATTAAAAAATTTAATAAATTACTTGTATTAATATCTTAATAAACTGCCTCATGTTTATCTTCAGACTCGTCTCTGGCTCTTCATGAGGGTCTGGTGCGGTTGTCTGGAGAGAGACAGTGTGAGGGGCAAGTGGAAGTTTTGATCCAGCAGGTCTGGAGGAAGGTTCTGCTGGACTCCTGGAGTCTCACTGAATCCTCTGTAGTCTGCAGACAGCTGGGCTGTGGCTCTGTGCTCAACTTCTCCGGCTCCTCTTCATCCAGTCCTGAACACAGTCATGAGTGTGTGATGGGCTTCCAGTGCTCTGGGAGTGAAGCTCATCTGGGGAACTGCAGCTCTCCACAAACTCTCAACTGCAGCTCCACACAACAGCTGTCAATCACCTGCCTTGGTGAGAACAACAACATCTGGGCAGATTCTGGAGTTGTTCCTGATCAATAATGTGTTTCTCTTTCTCTGAATATCAGGCCGCGGGTCCATCAGGCTGGTGGGTTCTGGGGGAGACTGTGCAGGGAGGCTGGAGGTTTTTCACAGCGGCTCATGGGGGACAGTGTGTGACGACTCCTGGGATATTAAAGATGCCCATGTGGTGTGCAGACAGCTGCAGTGTGGAGTGGCCCTCAGTAACCAGCAGGTACCAGCCTGGTTTGGTCCTGGTTCTGGACCCATATGGCTGGATGAGGTGGAGTGTGAGGGGAATGAGACGTCCCTGTGGAGCTGCTCTTCTCCAGGCTGGGGAAAACATGACTGTCTACACAAGGAGGATGTAGGAGTCGTCTGCTCTGGTGAACAATATACTTCACATACAGTTTATGTCATGTCCAGTGTATAAAACAAATGTTTGGTTTACAGTTATCACTTTTCCATCCAGAGTATAAAGAGATCAGGTTAACTGAGGGCTGTGAAGGGAATGTGGAGGTTTTCTACAATGGATCCTGGGGAAATGTGTGCTGGAATCAGATGGACAGAGACACAGCGAGTCTGATCTGTCAAGAGCTGAACTGTGGAAGATCTAGCAATGAGCCCAGTCATTCAGAGGGACTGAAGTCTCATAATTGGCTTGATTATTTTAAATGTCGACCACATGACTTTACTTTATGGCAGTGTCCATCTGCACCCTGGAGACTGACTGACAGTAATAATGAGGTGGCTGTGATCACCTGCACAGGCAAGTTCATTCTGAGTTAAGTTTAAATAAGGTGGATATTTTTGTTTAAAGTGTTATTACGGCTTCAAACAACTTCCAATTTTCAGTTAAGTGTTGAAATTTTAACATGTTTTAATCTCAGAGGAGGAAAGTTCTGAGTCTCCTAGGAGTCTTCTTCCCTGTTTTACTTATTCATCTCATCACCAGAGGCAGTGTTCAAGTAAGTTTATTACAGTACATGTCATTTTTATGTCATCTTAAACAGTGGACTGACATCTTAAATGATTCAATGTCATAATCAATGATATAATAAAATTCAAATAATGTTTAAATTAATTACAATTTTACAACTTGTAATTTCAGTCTGTGTTTTGCTGTAAACTTGCTACAGCAGTTCATCAATGTCTGATGTGTGTGTTTCAGCTCACGTTCCTCTCAGACTGCGTGGAGGGGGCGGCCGGTGCTCTGGAAGGCTGGAGGTGTATCATAACGCTGTGTGGGGCTCAGTCTGTGATGATCTCTGGGACATCAGCGATGCTCAGGTGGTCTGCAGGCAGCTGGGTTGTGGAGCAGCACTGAGGGCTGATGGGAATTCAGCCTTTGGTGCTGGTGAAGGTGTTGTGTGGCTGAACAGAGTCCAGTGCAGAGGGAATGAGCTTCACCTGTGGGACTGTCCTCTCTCCCTGAACAACCACACTGACTGCTCCCACAAAGAGCACGCTGGACTCACCTGTGCAGGTCACTGACAGATTTTTTAATCATTTTAGTGCTAGTAATTATTATATATTTTTTATTTAAATCAGTCATTTGCTTGGTTTTGACTCTGATTTAATAGACTTACCAGATATATCAGCGTCCACTACTCCCGCCACATCAGCATCATCTTCTGCTGCAGTTTCTCAGACAGTGAGCTCAACATCAGTCTCTCCTCCACAAACTCATCCAGAAACTGGTCCAGAAACTCATCCAGTCCCCCCAGTGGTGGTGATTGTACTGGGAGTTGTGCTCTTACTGCTCTTAGTGCCGCTGCTTATACTGATTCAGCAGAACAGAGTGATGAGGAGAGGTAGGAGAGATCCAGAGACTGTCATATTGTGTCTTCTTCAGTGTGTGATCAGTCATGTGTTGTGAACTGACAGCAGGTTTGTGTGTCGACACTCACAGCTCTCTCTAAGAGGAGACAAAAGACCATCACCACTGAGGCTGTTTATGAAGAGCTTCACCAAAGGCCCAAAAATGGACACAGTGTCTTTACTCAGAGAAGTAAGTAAATTTCTTGTGTGTTGTTCAACAGGGTAATCAATTTATTCAGAGAATGAGAGAAATAAATCACATGGGGCACATATATCATTCATTGATTCTACTCCTCCATAACAGGTAGTGTCCTTTCTCAAAAACTGCATTCTGGGTATGAAGATGCAGATGATCTTCTTTTAGGTTAGAGGACTGAAATATAATAATGTCACCTGTTACATACAGAGCTAAATGTAGTCTATGTTAAAGGGATAGTTTAAAAAAGGTAATGATTCAGACTCAAGTAATTGCTTTGTACTGTTTTTATTTTTTCTTTCTGTTACATTCTACGGGTGATTAAAAGACACAGACGTTTCGGCGCAATGCCTTTCTCAGTGTGTGACACAATTCTCTCACTCCACCCTTTTATCCCATAGTTAATCACAATGTGCAATTAGTTAGACCGCCACTCTCATTATAGTATCCATCATTAACCACACAATAACTATCTTCACACTTCACACTTGAATAATAGCATTGACAAGATTGACGCACCAAACCAAAGAAGTTCCTAAAAAAAACGCAAGCGCGCAGGGCAAACTTCAGCAACTCTACGAAAGGGATACTTTACTCACATTTACTCGCCCTCGAGTGGTTTCAATACTTTTATGAACACAAAAGAAGATATTTTGATGAAAGCTAAAAACCTGCAACAACTGATTTCCATATTTGGAAAAAAAATACTATGGAAGCAAATGGTTACTGTACATGTTTCCAACTTTCTTCAAAATATCTTCTTTTTTGTTCAACAGAAGACAGAAACACCAACAGGTTTGGTACAAGTGGAGGATGAGTAAATGTTGACAGAATTTTTTATTTTTGGGTGAATTTATTACTTTAATTTGCATTTGAAAGCAATTATAACTTTTCTTTTGCAGTTCATCTTAACACGATAATTCAATAAGGCAGGTAAGGGAATACTGAATCTTTTTTCTTGTCTGTTTTTAAGTGAGATCTGCACCTCACTCCTATGAAGACATTACAACTGAAGGCCCTGAAGGTCAGTGCCTTTAACTGATTTAACTTAAAGGAGTCAGATTATTAGTTTTACATTTTCAGAGAATGGTAATAACTTGTTGTTAGATTAGATTAATTAAACAGACTTTTGAATAAAAGTCTTGATAATTAATTTGAATGTTGTGATTCCTGTTTTACTTAGTTGACTTAATAATGACTCCATAGAATTGATTTACAGCCCGAAACACAACTCTCATTCCCATGTTGTTCTCTTCACCTGATACTTGTATTACATGTGATGAACAAGGTATAAATAATAGCCAATAATACAAGCATTTTTTGTTTATTTCTTCATTTCTCTTAACTCATCTATAAGAACAAGCATCGTCTGAGAATTATGATGATGCAATCACTGCTGGATTGGGACACTCTGGTGCAGGTATATTTCTAATAATTATTTCCACAGTTTTTTTATGCAGTTTTATTTGATTTGTTTTTATTATTATTATTTTTTATAGAAGACGTACCAGAAAACTATGATGATGCCATCGTCTTGCGACAACTCTCCAATGATAAAGCAGGTGTGTGCTTCAAATGACACTTGTGTACATATAGTAAAAAAATCCTAAATTATACTAGCAGATAATATTTAAATTAATAGTTCAAACATGTATTTTAGAGAGTCCTGAGGATTATGGTGATCCAGATGAAAGGGAGTATGTGAGTGACATATTGGGTACGTTTTTACTTTCTCATTTTTTGTGATAATAACAGCTTATTTAAATTGACTGCTGCTATTGAGGAGTTCATACTAATACTTTTAAAAAGCTTATTGTGATTCAGTTGCTTTTTTTCTAATACCAGATTATGATGATGTGGGGGAAGAACCAGAAAAACAGGAAGCAAATGGTTAACTCAGCCACACAGATTTTGTTTTGTTTATATATATATATATATATATATATATATACACACACACACACACACACACACACACACACACACACAGTATGTATAAGTACATGTAAGATACTATAAGAATAGTTACTATAAAAAATCTTCTTTTATTGATTTCTTTTTAATAATTTCATAACTTGCTCTTATGGCCTTTTCAAAATATTTAATTTTCTCTTTTCAGAAGTTTTTAGGATGTCATTTCATTTCAGTCATGCAGACATACTGTATC